GTGCTACTGAGGATTTGTTTATAAAGTCTTGTCCTATGCCATTGTCTTCCAGAGTTCTGCCTAAGTTATCTTCCAGCAAGTTTAGTGTTTCTTTTTTGATAATTAGATCTTTAATCCACTTGGATTTTATTGCATGGTGAAAGATAAGGGTCTAGTTTTAATCTTTGGCAGGTTGAAATGCAGTTTTTCTAACAATATATTAAAGAGGCTATCTTTCCTCCAGTGAGGATGGTTGGCTGCTTTGTCAAAGATGAGGTAGCTGAGTACATCTGGAGTTGTTTCTGTATCTTCCAATCTATACCACTGAGCCTCAGGTCTGTTTCTTTGCTGGTACCATGCTGTTTTTATCACAGTGGCTTTGTAGTATAGTTTCAAATTGGGAATTGTTATACCCACTGCCATGTGTCTGTTGCCTAGGACGGCTTTTGCTATTCTAGGTCTCTTCTGGTTCCAAATGAATTTTTGGAGTATTTTTTTCTAGTTCTGTGAAATATAATGTTGGAATTTCAATAGGAATTGCATTGAATCTGTATAGCAGTTTTGGTAGTATGGCCATTTTCACTATGTTGATTCTTCCTACCCAGGAGCAGGGGATATCTTTCCATTTTCTTAAATCCTCTTTGATGTCTTTTTTTAGAGTGCTGTAGTTTTCATTGTAGAGGTGTAGTTTTCTTTTCTTTTTTGTCCTTTTTGGTTTTGGTATCAGGATAATGCTGGCTTCATAGAATGAAAAATTCATTTTTCAGGGAAATGCAAAAAAGTTGCAGTTTTTTTTTTGGAAATAAAATTGATATTAGTTCTTTTCTTTCTCATTGAGTTTATTGGTACATTTTGGTATACAATACAGTTACATTCATTATTGGGATCCTGTGCCTTTACATGACAGGTCTTGGTTCTCATTTTTTCCCTTGTCCTTGCCCTCCCTTCACCCGATATTAGTTCTTCTAACAAAGTTTTGTAGAACTTAGCAGTGAGGCGATGTGATTCTAGGCTTTGTTTTTGTTGGGGAAATTTTTATTATTATCAAATTCGTCATGCTGCTTATTATTGATCTACTCATGTTTTATGTTTTCATGGTTCATTTTTGTTGCTTACCTGTGTCCCAAAATTTATGAATTTCTTCTGCATTTTCTAATATTTTGTGGATAGCTGTTCATAATAGTACCTAATGATCCTTTGTATTTCTAATGTGTCATTTTAAATTCTCTTTTTCATCTCTGATTTTATTTAGTGTCTTATTTTTCTTGGTTAGTATAGCTAAATGTTTATTGATTTTTTTAATGTTTTCAAAATTCAACTGTATTTCATTAAGCTTTTGTTCTGTTGTCTTAGCCTCTATTTTGCTTTTTCTATTCCAATCTTTGTTACTTGTTTGTTTGTTCATTTGTTTTTTGGTCCCAGGGATTGAACTCAGGTTCTTGTGCTTGCGAGGCAGGTGGCGGAACCACTGAGCTAAATCCCTGACCCTTTTTCTTATCTATAAATTTTAAATTGCCTTTTTTCTTGTTTATTAGTTTATTTACATGCATCTTTCTTTCTTTCTTTCTTTTTTTTTTTTTTGATGCAAGCACTTGCTGCTATAAACTTCCTTCTTGGCACTGCAATATCCATGAGTTTTGTTTCAGAAATTTTAAAGTTTCCTTTTGATTTTTCCAGTGACTTGTTGTTTATTCAGCAACATGTTGTCAAGTTTCTGCATATCTGTACAATTTCTACAATTCCTTATGCTGTTGATTTCGTTTTTTTCCCTCATGTTGAGGAGATACATGTGATATAAAGTTCTTTTTGAATTTATTGAAACTTGCTTTGTACCCCAGTGTATAGTCTACTTCAGGTAGTGTTCACTGTGTTGAATTGTTTGCTGTAATTCTTGGTTGCCATGTTCTATATGTGTGTGTGTGTGTGTATGACTATGTGAACATAGTTTATATTTGATTTTCTTTTTTTTGACTTTCTGTCTGGATGATCTGTCCTTTACGAAAGTAGGGTGTTGAAGTCCTGAGCTATTATTGTGTTGTAACCTATTTTTCCCTTTATATCCAACTGTATGTGCTTTATAAAATTAGGTCCATATGTATATGTATATTTTATTTCATGTACCTATCCCTCCAATTCCAAGATTTCTGTTTGGTTCTTTTCCATAATCTCTAGCTCTTTAGTTGAATTTTTTATTCATTTTGTGAATTGTTTTCCTAATTTGATTGAATCATTTGTCTGTATCCTTTTGCATCTTGTTGAAGTTCCTTGGAATCATTCTTTTAAATTCTTGTCTAGGCATTTTGCCATTTTCTTTCTTTCTTTTTTGGAATTTGTTCCTAGGGAGTTATTGTGTTCCTTGGGATACATCAAGTTACTTTTTTACATACTTCTCTGTCCCTATGTTGCTCATGTTTCCACATCTGGTAAACCAGTTGTTTCTATAAATTTAATAGGGCGATTTCTTAGACTGGAGCCTCAGCTTATAAGCTGTGTTGGCTCTGGTTGCAGGTGGACAGTGTTGTGTAGTCTCCTTGCAATGTCTTTAGCTATAACCAGGGGCTATGGGTGCAGTGCAGGCAGTAGTGGAGTTGCAAAGTCCCTCTCTGTGGGGTGAGGGTGTTCTAGCACCTGAGGATGGAGTATCCACTCTAATGGACCCCCTGCTCTAGAGGGTTCCAACAAGTCTGGTGCAGTGCACGTACACGATGGCAGGAGTGTTCTTGTCAGTCTCCGAGGGCTACAGGAGGCCAGGGATACTCCAGCAGGATTCTGGACAGGTGAGATGCAGCTCCCGTGGCTATCGTGCATCTATAACACTGATTGCATCGTTAATCTCCAGGACCTGTGTGGAGTGGAGCCACCTAATAGTATGAAAAGGTGAGCCACACGGGCCAGTGGAAGTGTAGTGAGGTTAGGTTTGTTCTTAAAATAACTGCGCAGCAACATCCTAGGTAGGAGAAGTTCCCCCTCCAAAACAGTGCAATGCTGTGCCCTCCCCAACTGGGCTTGTTGCTTACGTGGACTGCAGGATTCCCAGTAGCAAAAAATTCAGGTGTTTATGGTGCCAGTATGGACTGCTAAGACTTTCTGCCTATCTGTTTCTCAGTGCGGGAGGGTTTTCCTAGGATCAAACTGTTCTGAACTGGGGCAGTGCAGTAGTTGATAGAAGGCTTTATTCCCTTCTTTACTGGATTACTTGGAGTCTCTATTCCACAATTTCTCTGTTTCATCTGTACTGTGTTCAGCTCTCTCTCCCACATATTGTCATGGCATGGTAGTTGTACTTTTTTCCTTTCTTTGAAAGTAGGGCACATCTGTTGTGTGTAGTCAGCCATCTTGCCAGAAGCCTTCCTGTAACTGAGATTGGAAAGGTTTTTCAGGAATGTAGGTGTTTATTCCTTAATCTGTTTTGTTTTGTATGTTATAGCCATAGAAAGCCATGCTTGTACATATCTGCAGTGATAAAATTGCAAGTGCATTATATACATGACTTGCAGGCCTCTATTTTTATCGTAGTATGGGAACATAAAAAAGACCAAGCAAACTGAAACCATGTAATATGTTTTTTATATTCCCATGCTACCATAAAAATAGAGGACTACAAGATTGTAATGCTGTAGTAGATGAATGGCTAGTAAGTGGCTAACTGGTGGGTAGCATGGCGAGTGTGGAGACACTGGACAAAAGGTTGCTTTGCATTGTGGATGGGATGGTGCAGGGTGGTGTGAGATGGCATCATGTGCTTCAGAATGGATACAATTTCAAGCTTACAATTGTTCATTTTTCCATTGAATGTTTTTGGAGCATGACCAACCATAGGCCACTGAAACCATAGAAAGTAAATCAATGGATTAAGCATGATAAATGTCTAGTGAGTTGTAGACTGAAGACCTAGCAGTGAAGTTTATAGTTATGTAACTGTGTTACTCGCAGTCAACATACTGTGGTAAATGAAATTTTAACTGTTTTTGTGACACTGCTGTTATTTAATCCATTATGATTAAAATCTCTGCATATGGGAAATATATAAAGCAGGGAGTCCCTCCTCTCTTTTCTTCTCCATATATCATGAATACACACCCCCCCCACATATATGTAATATATATTCTGTTGTAGATAAATGACTTCCAAAGCTCATTGTTAGGAAGTTTAGCAATCATATTTTTGAAATTGAGTTTATTGGTACTTTTAAAGTATACAGTACGGTTACATTCATCACTGTGTTCTTGTACCTTTACATGACAGATCTTGGTTCTCATTTTTTCCCCATGCCCCTGTCCTCCCTTTACCCCTTCCACCCTCCACTATTTAAAAAGACTTTGTTTCCATATTTTCCTTTTCTCATATTTTTCCTCTCCCTTATTACCTTTCCCCTACCCTTCCCACTTCCCCTACACCTGTAGCCCTTTCTTCCTATTTCACATAATTAGTTATACAATTTGGATCTTATTTACACTTTTAGTTTTTCACACCAGAGAAATTCTTTGGTATTTACACATGTGTCTTGTTTATTTCACTTAAAAGTATGGCCTCAGTGTGCATCCATTTTCCTATGATTGACTTTAGTTTCTCCTTCTTTATGGCTGAGTAGTACTCCATTTTATAGAAAAACAACATCTTTATCCAGTCTCCAACTGATGGGCAATTGGGCTGTTTCCAAGTTTTAGCTGTTACAAACTGTACCGCTATAAATATGGGTGTGCATGTATCACTGTCATATGATTCTTTTAATTCTTTTGGAAAGATACCCAGCAGAGGGATGGCTGGGTCAAATGGAACCTCTGAATTGATTTCCACAGTGGTTGCACCAGTCTAGCAATCATAATTAAAACATGGTTTAACATTTTATTATGTATATGTATTCAATAACATTATATTGTTAACCTTAGATATATACAACTGGTTTAAAAATGTATTGTGTGGCAGCAACACTTTTATAGGCAAATTTAAATAGATAAAACTATCTGATTTTATAAAACAGTTTGAAAGTAAAACAAACTGAAGACATTCTTTTTTTACAGTTTTATGTATGGGGAATTGACGGACAAGAAGACCATCGAGAAGGTCAGGCAGACTTTTGACAACTACGAGTCAAACTGCTTTGAAGTTCTTCTGTACAAAAAAAATAGTATGTATTTCTCTTTCATATGGGGCCCAAAGTGATGATGTGATTTTCCAGGACATTGAAGAATGTTTAAATGAACTAAAATCCATAACCTCAAATACTTCTTTTTTTGTGGAGAATATTTGAGCATTTGAGATTTACTGTCTTGGAACTTTCGAAGGTTACAATGCACTGCTATTAACTACGAGTCCCACTGTTCCACTTAAAATGAGAACACGGTATTTGTCCCTCTGTGCTTGTCTTACTCATTTAGTGTGATGTTCTACTATCCCATTCATATTTATACAAATAATAGGATTTGTCCTTTTCAGGTCTGCATACTATTCCATTGTGAATATATAGTCTCTATTCTTTCTCAAATCATCTGCTGAGTGATAAGTTGATTCCTTAATTGGCTATTGTGAATTGTACTGCAATGAAATTGGAGTTTAGATATCTCTTTGATACACTGATTTTAAATCTTTTGGGTGAATACCAGGAGTGGAATTGCTGGATACAGGGTAGTTCCGTTTTTAATATTTTTAGGAGCCTACATCCTTGGGCCGTACTAATTTCCATTCACACCAACAGCGTGTGAGGGCTCACTTGTCTCTACATCCTCGCTGCCTTTTAGCTTTTCTCATTTGGTGATCGTCATTCTGATAAATGGACAGCGACCTATTGTAGTTTTAATTCACATTTTTTAATGATTAGTAATATTTGGCATTTTTTCACTTATTTGTTGGTCATTTTTATATCATCTTTTGAAAAATATCTTTTCAGGTCCATGTCCATTCTCTTAACTGAGTTATTTGTTTTCTTTCCACTGAATGGTTTGAGTCTCTCATGTATTTTGGATATTAACCCCTATCAAATATATGTCTTTCTAAATATTTTCTCCCAATCTGTATATTGTTTCTAAATTTCACCTTTTTGTGGGTCATTCAGGAAAATTAATGCTCATGATAAACTTTCATTGTTTGTGACAATACATAGAAATGACAGAAATTCTTTAATGTATTCTTTTTTTTCTTTTTGGTGCCAGGGATCAAATTTGGTCCCTTGTGCTTGTGAGGCAGGTGGCAGCATCACTGAGCCAAATCTGTGGCCCCTCTTTTGATATTAAGAACGCCATTTCCTTTCTACACAAACACAGGTGGCATGTGAACCTTTGGTAGCTGCTTGAGGTCTTTAAGAACATGAGAACATGGCCTTTGGCCAGGGGTAGACTGTGCTTTGTGGATGGCTGGAGGAAGTAGTCATTACTTTCAGAGGACAGCATTCATATCGGGTCCAATAACTGTTGTGATCTGTCTTCTAGGATGAGATTTGTGGATGGTCAGTTGTCCAGTATGGAACCACATAAGACTTAATGTTATAGATAGACTCTGTCAGAATTTGACAGGAGAAAAAATAGTGACTAAGCTGAATGATGAAATCGTCTTTTGAGTTGCTTTTTTAACATGGCCACCTATTTACATCTCTTCTTGATATTTTCTTGAATTGTGCTTTCTTGCTTAAAATGTACAGTCACTTCTTAAAATGGATCAGTTAATTTTGTGTTAATGGCAAGCAACAGCAAAATCCATTATTTTTTCGGTAGAAATTGATGGCTATTAAAATTTCTTTATGTTTGGGAAATATTCTAGCTTCAGCAAGAAACATTTGTTTTATATTCAGTGCCTGTTGGATTTTGTGGAACATAACTTATCCTATTTTCCTTAAAACAGTGCTCTTTATGGAATATTTGGAATTAAAACCAGATTTTTCATATTAACTAATAGACTAACAAATGAATAGCAATAACTATAGACCTTGCCTCACAGGGGTACATCTGATAACAAGAACATTTGTCTTTCGTGGTTTTACTTAAGGAATATTTCATGGTCTTGTCTTTCATTTTAATACCATGACAAGAAATATTTCTGTTTGAAGTCGCAGCCAAATATCAATTACTTATCATCTAGAATACAGTCCTTTCTGGTTGATCAGCTCCTTCTTCTGTAAGAGAAATGGCAGACTGTAGATGCTTTCTAGCCCCTTTTCACTGGATCCAGTACATACTGACACTTCACTGGAGATCAATGTGCCCAAATCCCCTTCACTTTTCAGTTGTGTTGTTAGCCTCAGTACAACTGAGATATGTACCCGAAGCTTAGCAAATGATTTAAGAGCACTCTATATTACTAAGGTCAACCACTCCGCTATTTAAACAATAAACAAATCTTTGTTGAATTTTCAGACATCAAAGCCAAGTCCTTAGTTTCTGAGATTCTCAAAATTACCTTAGTGGAATTCTGTTTTCTTTATTTACTTTATTTTTTTATTTTATTTTATTTTCCAGTTTTAATTGAGTTTATTGGTACATTTTAGGGATACAGTACAGTTACATTCATTGTTGGGATCTTGTACCTCTACATGACAAGTCTTGATTCTCATTTTTTCCCCTTACCTCTGCCCTCCCTTCACCCCCTCTTCCCCTCCCCATCTACAAACACTTTATTTTCATCTTTTCATTCTCTCACATTTTTTTCTTCTCCCTTTTTACTCTTCCCCTACCCATCCCACCTTCCCTACACCTTTAGCTCCTTTCTTCCCATTTCTAAATGTCAGTAATCTTATTAGAATCTTATGCATTGTTGCAGATTATTTACACCAGGGAAACTATTTGGTATTTACACATGTGTGACTTATTTATTTCACTTAGGAGTATATCTTCAATATGTATCCATTTTCCTATGAATGAATCTATTTTCTCATCCTTTATGGCTGAGTAATATTCCATTTTATAGAAAAACCACAACTTCTTTATCCAGTTTCCAACGGATGGGCAAATAGGCTGTTTCCAAGATTTAGCTATTACAAACTGTGCCGCTATAAACATGGGTGCACATACTTCTCTGTAATATGATTCTTTTAGTTCTCTTGGAAAGATACCCAGCAGAGGGATGGCTGGGTCAAATGGAACCTCCAGTCCAAGCTCTTTGAAGTATCTCCATATTGATTTCCATAGTGGTTGCACTAGTCTGCACTCCCACCAACAATGGAGAAGGGTTCCTTTCTCCCCACAACCCGCCAACATTTGTTATTGTGTGATTTCTTGATAGCAGCCATTCTTTGTGGGGTGAGGTGGAATCTCAGTGTTGTTTTCATCTGCATCTCTCGAATGACCAGTGATGTGGAACGTTTTTTCAAATACTTTCTTGATGCTTTTACTTCTTTGTCTGAGACATGTCTGTTCATTTCGGATGCCCATTTTTGAATTGGGTCTTTATATTTGGGGGGACTGATTGTTTTGAGTTCTTTATATATCCTTGGTAATAGTCCTTTGTCTGAGGAACAGCTGGTAAAAATTTTTTCCCACATTGTAGATTGTCTCTTAGTTCTGCTGATGGTTTCTTTTGAAGTACAGAAGCTTTTTAGTAAGATGAGATCCCAGTTGATGATTCTATCTGCTAGTTCCTGTGCTACTGAGGATTTGTTCATAAAGTCTTTTCCTATACCAATGTCTTCCAGCAAGGAACTTACCTTCCAGCAAGTTTAATGTTTCTGTTTTAATATTTAGATCTTTAATCCATTTGGATTTTAATTTAGTGCATGGCGAAAGATAAGG